TTCTCCTCCCCTCATAAACAATTCAATTCAATTTGAATTAATATTTATCGAGCCCTGACACAATGCATAGCAGCATAGTGGATGCTGTAATAGAGCTGCTACATAAAAGGGCCAAAACTCCTATCTGCCCTAAGGAAAAAAGACAGCTTATTGTGTACAGGACAATAGGAATAACATGGCAGTAGCAACCAGTGCCCTACAAGATAGTATAAAAGATTATTTAATTTAGTCACATTTATTAGCCACCTCTCATATTCAAGGAAACCAGGATATTCTAAACAAAAAATGAGGATGCTGCATTGACAAGAAGTAGAAAAGAGAATTAAAATTTTGTTTGAAGAAGAGGGTTGGATTACTTCTGGAGAAATAAATTTGCACCATACTTCATGCATTATTAAATGGGTCTATTCTCAGCTACACATAGTGAATGGTTCTGCATTGATTTGTTTTTCTGGAGTGTCACCGTTTGTTTGGTTTTGACTTAATGGTCTCAGAGGTCTTTCAGACCTCACTTTATCATGCCAAATTATGTTGCTAAAGTCAGGCAAAGGAAGGCATATCTGGGACCAGCTTTTTTCCCAAAAACTCCAACATATAAAAATTCATGATGTTTATTTGCATTGTCTGGCTTCAAATTTTAACACTATCATTTTATTGATTACTAACTCTCTTTCCTGTTCAATTTGAGCATCTACATGGTAGGGTAATAAATATACTTATGTGTCAATTACCATGAGAATTAAACAAGATAATACTTGTTAAGATCTTAGACTGTAACTGGTTTAGAGTGTTTTATATACATGAACACTTTTTTTTTCCTAGAACAACATGGTAGCAGTTAAAATATGCATTCCCATAAGAGTATAGAACTATTTTGGAAGCTTGTCTTTTATCAAGCCCGTGTCTCATAAAGTGGATGGATGGGTGGACAGATGGATAGATGGATAAAAATATAGATCAGAGATTGTCACAGGCTACTGTTCCCAGGAATCAATTCATAACAGAAGTTTGTACACAGAGACTTTCTTGGTGTAAGTTCTGTAATCAACTCTTACCCCTATAGCTATTGCAGTTTTCAGTCTGCTAGTTCTTACTTGACTCCTTCTCTGGAAACCGTCCTTGGCTAGAGAAAGCCACTGACCCAAGACTACAACATCTTTATAAACTCTGCCTGAATCCAGGAATTGACTGATGTGGATATGTAAGGCCCACAAATTTGGCCACGTCTGGAAGGTTATTCCTTATCCAGAACATCAGCATCCATGGACTGGTAGAAGGCTTTTGCTGTGTATGTGCTACCTTTGACCCTTCCCCTGCTCCCCAATCTTTTTTCTCTTGCTGTCTTCTCTTCCTCATAGGTGCTGATTCTTACAGTATATAATCACAGATCTAAATTTATTTCAGCTAATAAGTTTTGCTGCCTTCATTAACATAATTCTTAAAGCTGTTTTCATTTGTTGTCAATGCATATGACAGAAGTAAAAATGAAAATACGAATAAGATTTGATTTGGTGCTACTGCCTCAATTCATGTTAAGGGCCCTACATTACAGGGCACACATATCAATCCAGGGAGAATGCCAGCCACATGCCCTAGTGTTGTTCTGAAGATAGTTTTGATCTCTTAGACTCCACAAAAGGTCTTGGCCAAGTGACATGGAAATTACTAAAATATGGCCAGAGATATAGTTCAGTGCCTACCTGGAAAGTGTGAGGTTGTGAGTTCAATCCCCAGTACTAAAATTTTAAAAAATTACTAAAATATATTGTCTATTAGAATAAGAGAGTAAGCCAGGTGTGAGTGTGTAACCTCACACCTTAGAATGAGAGAATAAGGCAGATGTGAGTGTGTAATCCCAGCACTCAGGAGGCTGAGCCAGGAGGACTGATGCAAGTTCGAGGCCAGTCTAGGCTACAAAATGAATTCAAGGCTAGCCTGAACTGCATAATGAAACTCTGTCTCAAAAAGACAAAAGAAAAAAGTATTGAGAGTATACAGAGAGAATAGGTTAGATTGGTTTTTGTGCCAGCATCTCATTTTTTGCATATTTTAAAATGGTACCATTTACTGTTATTAAAACCTTTATTGCCCTATCATTGATCAAAGTAAGTAATCTAAATCTCTTCAAATTTTACTCATAAGAATATTTAAAATAAACAATTGTGAAATTCTCGCCATAATAGCCCAAAAGAGGAAGTAACTCATTATCTGTCAACTAGTAAATGAGTAAAAAGGCATACAAATGGCATAAAAATCTTTATAATAATAGTAAGAAAATAATGATACATGCTACATTAAGGAAGAATCTTGGAAATAGTAAACTAAGTAGAAATAATAGTGAACACATACACACACACACAAGCGCGCACACACACAAACATCATGATTACTACTTACAAAAAATATCCAGAATAGGCAAATTTGTAGGTACAAAGATTAGTGTTTTCCTGGGGGGACCTGGGGGGGTGGGTCAAAGTACAATGGCTGCTAGTAAAGGTAAGGTTTCTCTCAGAATTGACAAAAAGCTCTAAAATGAATTTTGATGATGATTGCATAACAGTTAGTATACTAAAAAAAGCACTATATACATTAAGAGGATAAAGAGAATGGTATTACAACAGCGAGCAGAAATACCAAAACAACACCCAGAATTTGGAGGCAGGTTTATTACATCAGTAGACACAAACAGGGATCATCTGGTGGTCTAGGACTTATATTGCATAAGCAGACAGGAAGGACAGAGGCCAAATGGCTTGTCAATTGGGGATTGATTTATACAGTGTGCATCACAGTGACCAGCCGTTTCTAAGGGACCAGAAACAACTGAACCAGAACAGGAACTTGTAAAACTGATGTATTCTAGCTGAGGGGGACATTTTCTATTACAGTATGAGAATTATGTCTCAATAAATCTGCTAACAGTATTTGGTGCTCATAGTAAATAGGAAATTAATTTTCACCCTGGTCTAATGCAACTATTTCTCTTGATGTACATAGACTCTTACATTGGCACTTCATTTTTCAGGAAACCAAGATAATTTGCTGACTCAATAAACTTATAAAAATTTCATATAATAATCATAGCATTCAATAAATTATAATTTTATTAGAGTAATTTAGGAGCTGTGATATGTGTTTTATATGAAATTCTCCCTACAACTCTAAGTTAAAATGTTCTCATTGTTCAGATAAAGAAACTGAGGCATGCTATAGCCTTTAGGTGGTCCATCAACATTTCCTACCACTTAGAAATTCCACTTAACAAAAACTATGATAGGAGGAAACTGCAGTCTTTAAGGGATAAAGAGATACCTTTTAAAATTCAGTGAAGTCCTTTCTAGGCCAAAATAATCTATGCACTCAATTCTACTCAGAAGTCGTAAGTCCAAGTAGAGAGGAGGTAGGTGTAGGGTGGAGTACATGATAAAAGAGGTAGATTTCATTTAATAGTGTACTGTCTAAGAAGATGGATTAGAAACATAAAGAGCTAATAACACCGAAGATTTTCTCTGCTAGGTTATCTTTTGTACATTAATTATACAGAAGAGCCTGCTTAAATGGATACTCTGGCTGTAAGAGTGCCTCCTAAGAGAGAGTTCTTTACTCTGCAATTGATTTAGGAGATATTATCTAAGAACTGTTAAGGAAATAAGTTGATACACAAGACAAAGTTTATTTCATGTGTAGTATAGGCTCATTCATTTAACTGACCAGTGAATCAGAACTGTATAGGAGGCACAATCACTATGATAGATACAATTAGATCATCTATGTGTTAAGATACACTGAGGTATTTTGTTTTGTTTTGTTTTGTAGTATTAGAGATTAAACCCAGATACTTCACACTGAGCTACAATCTTAGCTTTTTTAATTTTATTTTTTTAAGACAGGATCTTGCTGAGTAGCCAGGTTGCCCAGACTGAGCGCTCAAATTTGTGATCCTCCTTCCTCAGCCTTCATGAGTGCTAGGATTACAGATTTCACTGAAATTTTAAATCGAATGTCCATGAAAACTGCTTTCAATTGGAAAAAACAATTTAAATGGTTTTATTTGTTCTTCTATGTTATATAATATAATGGAGCCCTAGAATCTCTTGCTAGGGATTAATTCTTAAAATTTTTCTGATAAATAAAAAAAGAATTTCTAATTTTTCCCTATAATTTGATTTAAAAGCAGAAATCTCCAAACAACTATGTAGAGCAACATGCCTTACTGTTCAAACTTACATATTTTTATTTTAATTTCCCTATTTTTTGCATGCATTTTTTTGGTACATGCTTCTTGCACAAATGACAAGTAGATTTTTTAAACTCTTTCGTAAATTCTACATTGTTTTTAAGTCAAGGAGAAAATAAGATGAAATTAACTATTATGTGGCCTTACACAGCCGGTTCATTATTCATAATACAGAATTTATTTAATCCTCTCAATCAGGACTTAAAGCAGCCTTGGTTTTCGGTCAATTGTCAATTCTTTTATTTTTGTCCCATAAAATTAAAAAGAAAAACATCTAGTTATTTTCTGTTTGCTTACATTTTTGTTCTTTCTGCTGTTGCGTTCTCAGATTGCTTTCTTGTATATGCCATCACTTTTTCCTTTTCCTGAGCGACTTGGTCTGACAACCGTTTGTCATTGTATTTCTAGCTACCAAACAGGTTTCCTCTGATTGTAGGGTTACTGCCCTTCTGTGCACTGGTTTGAAGCTCACAACCAAAGAATCACACTCTATTTTCTCAGTAGCTTTTGCTGTTACGTTATTTTGACTTTAGTTCTCTCTTTACCAAAAGTTTCTGAAATCGTTTTTCCTAGAAGTGTGTTTAGTTCTATACTGTTCTTTGTTTAATTCTCCCTTATCACTTCCAGGTAGACTTTTTTTCCGGGAGACTTGCTCATTCAAGCTGGATCTAGTAAAATAAATCCAATTATTTAGCATACATATATAAACACATGCACACTGCTTTAAAAGTAATCAATTCAAACAATTCTGCTTCTCTTGCAGAAACATGATGGCCACTTCACAGTCATCCAGTTGGTTGGCATGCTCCGAGGCATTGCATCAGGCATGAAGTACCTTTCAGATATGGGTTATGTTCATCGAGACCTAGCAGCTAGGAACATACTGGTGAACAGCAACTTAGTATGCAAAGTTTCTGATTTTGGTCTCTCTCGAGTGCTTGAAGATGACCCAGAAGCTGCTTATACTACAACTGTAAGTTTGTATGTTTTTCTCCAATATAGTTTGCTTACTTTTATAATTTTGAATGTTATTAGTGTAATTCTACTTTTACTTTCCCAATTTTCTACTCTAATTTATCAGTCCTAAATTCACATAATTACTTAAAGACCTAATTTTAAAAACTTTCTTATATTGGATTCTTTTCATTTTAATGTCCCCAAATGTTAATATCTTTCTTGAGATCCTTGTCGTGACTACTCTCTCAACAAATTTGCCTTTGCCTAAGGTATTTTTGATGCTTCAATAATTAGAGCTCATTATAAAGCCAATAAAGCGTCCCATTGATAACTCAGGAGTAGCACCAAGGAGTTAGTGGTTACAAAGTGACATTGACTTTTTTATTATTATGGAAAGGTGCAGTCATACTTGAAAATAAACAGTGCAAACTTCTTTGAGGTAAAGGAAAGCTCTCTATATCTTTCTTAAAATAATACTTAGGGAAATTTTGAGCAAGAATGATACAATATTTGTAACATTTGAAGGGAGGGAAAAACTAACAGAGACCACCAGGCTTGTATAATTATGGCATGGAATTTACTGTGCCTGGGTGCAAGTAGGCAGATTGCACAATAAGACCTTCTGCCCTGAACAAGGAGAAGTGTGTCCTTTTTATAGGGATGGGGAGAAGACAGGGGACATTAGGCAGAAAGGTTTTAACAAATTTCTGTGGTCGAAGTTCTCTGGCAGTCTTACACCTTAATGGGCAGAGTCCTTGAAGTGTCCAGTGTAAATTCTCAGGTGTCTCCAAATGTCCCCAGATGTTTTAGGACCTGCAAAATTCCATGACCTCTCTTATCTCCTTCATGACATTCTGCGCTTGCCAATGGCAACTTCAGTCCTGATCAGAATTCTCTGTAGAAAGTAGTACTTCTGCTTGCAGGCAGGTTCTAGAGGCTAGCAGAATGAGGTCCAATAGGAACATTACAAATAAAAGGCCAAAACTTTAGAACCAAGCTATCATCAATAAATTATATGACATCAATTTGACTAACAAATATTAAACCATTCTTGAATGTTCAAAGTAAATTCATCCTATTGTTTACTTTGCTGTTTTATTCAGTCTCAAAGTCTCTGTTCATGTCTGTTAGAGCTTCTACTTTGTAAAATAATTTAGTTGTTTCTTAAGACTGTTTGCCATTAATTCATTTGACAGCTTTAAACAAAAATAAGTCATTAAAAGTATTCAAGATGTTTTTATTCTATTTCCTAACTTTACACATTATTTTAAACCATGGAATTCTATTATTTAGTACCCTTTTATTTCCTTTTTCTATGAATTTTTTTAACTTGAGTTATTGCAGAATAAATTCAAGTTAAATATTATGAGTAGAGTATTTTGTCCTCTTACTATGTTTGCTTTGTAGAAATTCTTATAGTAATTTGTTGGTATTTTCACCATTCTTTCAATAAAAAGTGTGGTTTTAAGGAAAACAAATTAAATCCTGAATCTGAGGTATAAAATAATAGTAGCTCCTGTCTTTCAAGTTAAACTAAAAATTTCATAAAATTAACTCTAATTGTATGAAAATCAATTATTTATTTTACAAAGGCGTTTTGAGCTCTATCTTAAAAAGAAAATATCACTACGGTTTTTAAGGCCTTTTTAATTTTATTTTTAAAAATGTATAATATGACAATTTTTGTATACACATATAATACACATACACAATACACATGCAATTTTATATTAAGCATATTTTCAGCCCTAGGTAATATTTTAAATTATCAAGTAAAAGTTATAAAAGATAGTATTTATAAATATGGTAACACATGCAATGTATCTAAAGAATAAAATGAGATAACTAATAAACTCTTTTCACTAAATGTCTACATAGATACTCTTAAAGCCACTTAGTAAATTCTATTTTAACTGCTTATTAAAATAGGAACATAGTAACTAGATTTAACATACTAATAAAATTAGTAACCCAAAGTTTGATACATACTGTATACAAGTTTTATTGGATCAATTTTGACATCCTGACTCTAGGCTTTTTCTCTTTTATGTGGTTATAGGCTGTGAAGTCTGGAATAGTGCTGCTTTAAATTTAGATCAGTCTACGGAATTAAATAGAAAATTAGGTTACCAGAATATTTATACTCCAGAAAGTGCCACTGAAAAACTATGGATTATATCATAATTAGAAAGATCTCTGATTTCAGTTAAGTGGAAAGTGGTATGATCTAGTTATTTTAAAGAAGTCTCATAATTATCTTACTGTTCATAGAATTTTGAGGTGCAAAACTACATTGATTGCTTCATCTTATAATGAACACAGACTTTGAATATATAACACAACAAAATATTGTCTTTTTGAGTTTATACTTTGAAAGGTAGACAGACTCATGCTTTCTTGCAATTCAATGCATTAAATATTGTCACAGAGGTCTGATAAAAATGCATAGAATAATCAAAGAGAAGTCTGAAGAAAGTTTCTGAAAAGATAAAATATGAATCAAGTCTTTAAAAATTCAGTAGAGATGGTTAGAGAAAAGACCATCCAGATGAGGAAAGAGAGAAGATATAGAAATGCAGATAAGTAAATGGAGAGATTGATAGAAATGTGCAGTTTGAAATTGAGACCAGATTCAAAAGGGCCAGGTATTTCAGAAATAATTGCTAAGGTACTTATGTGGCAGAACTTGAAGATTTTTCTACAGCTGCTAAGAGACATCAATTAATTCAAATAAGAAAATAACAAAAATAAGTGCATGTTCTAGAAGATATTATTGACAATAATGTAAAGGAAGGAAAGATTAAAGACAGTGGTAGCAGGGAGGCCAATTAGGCATCATTACATAGCGGAGACAAAAAGGCCGTCTTTCTTTACTTAGGGCTATGGAAGTTAGGATAAAGAGAAGAACAAAGAACTAAATATCATTATGAACACACAATTTATAGGATTCCATAAGTAATTAGACATCAACTATAAGGAAACCAAGGTTTTAAATATGATATCAATATGTCTAGATCAAACAGCTAATTGCATAGAGAGGCTATTAAGACAGAAGTCCTCTTAAAAATGGTCTGGCTATCAGTATTAAAATACAGGCAAAATTATAACAATAGATACTGTATTTCAAACAACAGATACTGTATTTCAAAGTTATTAAGATAATGCCTCTGAGCACTGGCATTCGGTTGAAACTTTCTATAAAATTTTTATATACAAAATACTTACTTTCCAAAAACTTTTTGTATTTCCAGTTAAAAGGGATGAGACACCCAGAAAATTTACTGCCTGGTAAAGACATACTGCAGTTCAGGATGTTTCAGCATACGTAAATCAATAAATGTAATCCACTATGTCAATAAAGCCAAAAGTAAGAATCACATGATCATTTCTATAGATGCAGAAAAAGCTTTTGATAAGGTCCAACATGCAATTAGACAAGAGAGAGAAATAAAAGGGGTAAAGATAGGAAGAGAAGAAGTTAAATTATCATTTTTTGCAGATGACATGATACTCTACATAGAAGACCCCCAAAACTCCATTGAAAGACTCCTAGGTGTAATAAATAAATTCAGCAATGTAGCTGGATACAAAATCAATACTCATGGTTCTTTTTCTGTTAGTTGGTTCTAAATACCTTGTAATACTTTCATTCTCTTGAGTGTTTTTACACTGTCATATTATGTTTGATGTCATAGTATACAAAGTTACACTCAAATATTTCAAGGAAAGAGACATTATGGTAACTACTGTTATGTTGGGTTATCTTGTGGTGAAACACTATGTTGCTTAAATTGTTCTGTTCTGACCTGTGTTGTTATGTTGTTATGTTCTCTTTTATCTTAATCTCCTTCTTTTTAAAATTTTTTTTAAAAAAATAAAATAAAATCATGTATTTTACATTTTAAAAAAAAAGACATACTGCAGTTTGATCAAACCCTGTGGAATAAAATGTGAATAGACATTTACATAAAAAGGATTTATTTTTAAAATGTTTACATAAAAACAACTTCAAAGAGCAAATTCCTTTGACATAGTAAAAGAAAATTTGATTCAATTTTTTAACATTTTAACTATATATACCAGTCTTGAAATAAATCTTTTATCATGAGTGATCATAATGTTTTCTCACTATGTTAATATAATTTCTATTTCCTCATTATTTATAAATGTTGTACTCTACATCACAATGGGCTTGAAAACAAAGGAGATTATGAAGAACAAGAAGGCATCGAGGATAATGGCTGTGCTTTGTTTAGTTTTTTGTTTTGTTTTGTTTTGTTTTAAACTTCAGGAAAACAATTCCTAGAATAGTGTGCTGCCTGGATGCTATACCTTCCTAATCAAAATAAGGGCAGAATAAATAGATTTCCCGCTGACATGATTTTGCATATTAAAGCAGGTCATATTACAACAAACAGCAGTGAAAACTAGTTAAAGATGACAGGCTGGGAAGCTCGAGTGGCTGGGTGTGAGCCCCACGCTGGCCATGGAACTGTACTGGAGCACAAGTGCTGATGAGCAAGTTCTTCTCTAATTGAAAATGTTGTTTTCTAGGATGGACAGAAGCAGGATCTAGAGTGTTTATTTTAGGCAGTTCCTAAATCCTGTGTCAGGATATTAGGTGCTTAGCATATGCTGCAGTTACCTTTGCAAACTAATTTGTTTGCAACAAATTAGTGGGCCAGTGCTCCACCCCAAATTCTCCTGATTCAATAACCAAATAAAGAAATAAGTTGAGAACAGATAGATTACTACACAGAGGTGCAATTAATAACCAAATACAGCATGTAATAAAATTCATGTATGTGCCTACACTAAGAATAGTTAATGCAACCTAAAAGGAAATACAGTAGTGGTATTACCAGAGGCCTCAATGTAGGCCCAACTTCCTGGGCTCATTCACCTACTCACCATCAATAAATTGAGAAAAACCCATAAAAATGGGAAAATGAGTTTATTCACAATTTAGCTAAAGTGGGAGAGTACATAGTAACCCCTCAGGAAAGCATAGAAGCA